ACGATCCATACTGCCGCGTTCACATCCGACCCGTTTTCGAACTTAATGCTTGTGGGTCGTGAAGAAGGCGCCCACCAAAACCTTATGCGCAAGTCGATCCTTCACTGGCTATCGAACCCCTCTACTACCAAGATCTTCAAAGCAGTCGAGGGGAATGGAAACATCCTCGGCTGGTCGTGTTGGGTTGCGAAGGAACTGGAACGGAAGAACCCGGAGGAGAACAAGTCCTCTGAGGCACCCTCTGATCCAAACCATCGCAACGAGAAAGCACGCCCTGCCGATGATGCTCCTAGAGACCCTGCGCGAGTGTTGGGTGGGATCATGCACAAAGAGATGACTTCATGGGAATCTCGACACATGGGAGGGAGCAAGTACATGGTTCTGCAAGCCTTGGCGACGCATCCTGAGTTCCAAGGTCGGGGCATCGGGACCAGGCTGGTTCAGCATGGACTTGAAGAAGTCGACTCACAGAGCCTTGCGTGCTGGATTCATGCCTCGCCCTCAAGTTACAAACTTTACGAGAAGGCTGGATTCCAAGAGGTTGGGAAGAGTGACTATGATCTTGCTGAGTGGGCACCAGTAGGGATAGGCGGCGAACTTGGTTGGGGGACATATACGTTTCGTTATATGCTTCGCTCTGTAAGAATATAATCTGCCGAACGTATTTCCATGACAATGGAAGCATGTTCGTAAGCTGAATGTATTAGGTTGTGTGTGATATTGGACCTGAAAATGACACACCAGCTGCGGCAAAACAAACAAACACCTCAACTCTGGTGCTGTTGCTCCAAAGACGCGAAGATGAACTCAAGTAGTCCTCTGCTATTGTTGATAGTCAAGTCTCAAGGACGCAGACAACTCAGTTATACTGCATAAAGCCACTCAGCTATCTCAGTGCGTGCTATCAATTCCACATAAAATGCTAATTATCCTATCAACTACGAAACGGCGTGTGCACAACAATCTCCAACCAAATTTTCTTCAACTTCCTTCCATTACGGAACTTTGATATGACAATATAGCAGTAACAGTCTCGAAGTACCGTTTTATTCGTCCGTACTCTAAATATATACGAAGCATTTTACTGACGATATTCTGCAGTTGATGAGATAGGGCTCAGCCGTTGAAACGTGTAAAACTGCCCGCCCCTTGTCAATCTTGAACCCACTGATCTACCATGTGAAAACTACCATGACGAGTGTTTTGTAAAGTTGAAATCCTCGGGAGCTTGGTTCCGATGAAAGTTGAAACTGAACTTAACGTTGAGTAAGTACATTGGAACTTGAACAGCTCGTCAGAAAAGCTCATGCCAGAATGTTCGATAGACACCAAAATGCTTGTACTGAGTAATACCAGAACTCGGCTACACCCATGTAGATATTTAACTTCCTCGCTACCTCCTCATCCTAACATCCAATTCTCCGTCAGGTACAATGTTGTGGAACCTCTGGCCTGTTCAAATTACCGCCTTTATCCTTGCTAGATATCGTAGTAGAGAGTATACCCTTCTAACGCATGTAGTGCTATCATAATAGTCGCTAGCGCTTACACTTGGCCGCCTAAAGTAACGCACTAAGCCACCTGTTATTTACTTGACGAGACCCGCGTCATTGATGTGGCCAGAACGGGATCTTCAACTTCATGCACTTTCGCTCATTCTTTTCTCCGGAATTTCATGATGGGGGACATGCTGGCTTGGTACATTGTCATTTTCCTAGGATCGGCTATTCTGACAACTGGCTCCTTATACAACTCCGAATTCATCACCAACCCGAGCACATCGTTCCTCGTTCACCTCACCACGAGCATCGTCCTCTACTTCACCTCCCTCATCGGCCTTGCTCTCACCGCCATCGAAGACTGGAGACTCCAAGCGCGCCTCGCACGGAAGAAGGGACGTGGCCTCGAGCCCTTTCGATTCTTCCCCAAAGAGCATGCAGTCTTCGTGACGCGGGCGACGGGCCTGGCAGCGGGCGGATACGTCATGGCGCTCCCGCTGCTCATGCCGACTGACGACGTGATTGCCCAGGTCTGCCTGCGCATACCGACGTTTTTCTACGCTTGCAAGTGCTGGGACTTGACAATCGCGCGAGCGAGGAAGCCGCCTGTCCCACGGGATGGGAAAGAGGAAGTGGTCTACGGGCTGACGAGCTGGAGGTCTGTTGCTTCGTATGTCTGGCGGCTTGGGTCGGAGACTAGGTATGCGTCTTTCAATATCGCCGTGGATGAATCGAAGCGAAAGAGCATCCCAAAAAGCGCGGCCTGGACCTACGGTCCGCTGCTCGTGGTCCCTCTGACATATCTATTCCCCGTTACGGAACTAAAGGTCATGTGTGGCCTGCTTGCTATTCAGTATGGGCTAGAGGGCATTCACTTCATCTTCCATCCCCACTGCCCCAACAAGCTCTTCTTCCAGCCGTGGGCAGCAGATAGCTTCTCTAGCTTCTGGGCCATTCATTGGCACCATGGGGCACAGCCATTCCTTCAACACCTAGGGTACGTTCCCGCCAGAGCCCTCTTCACACGTCTGTTTGGGAAAGATGCCGGCAAGGCCGCCGGTGTCCTCGCGGCTTTTAGTCTCAGCGGAGTTTGGCATGCCTGGTGCGGGGTCGTCTTGACACTGGACGATTATGCGTGGGTACAGGCTGTGGGCCTGTGGACTGTGTTCATGGTGCAAGGCGTTGGTTGCCTGATCGAGCGCTGGCTTCTCCAGAATGAGAGCTGGAGGACAGGACGGAGGAGACAGATGTTGACGGCCCTGTGTTGGATGGCTTCAGTGGAGTCGGCGGCGTTTTGGTTGAGGTACGGAGAGGCACGGGCGAAGAGACCTCAAGGCTGGACTACGTTCTGAGATATGGGGTCAAGGGTCAAGGGTCAGGGGCGATAAACCAATAGAGAGCATCCGTAGAGGCGGGTAAGGGCATGAAATGTTGTCAAGAGCAGCATGTTTCAGTAGCTTTACCCCAAGGCATCGAGAGGTCTGGCCCGAAGAATATGTTAGAACCTGGATCATTAAAGGAAATCTTCTGTGACTTCAATGTCTGCTAAGCGACACTAGAACCTGTCCTCGGGGCGGTACGTGTTCCTGGTAACTGGTTATTCAATAATACTCTGATGCAACCTGCATCCTTTACCCACTGCGGATGGCAATGCTACAGACTTGAGATGGAGCGCATATTCAAACGAATCTTTTCGATCCTTCCCGGGTCCCTAGTTCAGTAAACTTATCGAAAGGGTGGTCTCGCCAACGCTTTGCTGGATTTCAGCTGTCGAAATCTTCTCACTGCGTCTATGATTGGCTCGGCTCCTGCCAAGAACATTCAGACGGGAGATCAGCGCAGGCATAGCTCAGCGCATGGCATCACTGGCCTCGTCCCATCATATTCCGTCGTGCTTCTCTTGCCGATCTCACGCTTGAATCTAAACGTTTGCATTGCTCTCTGCGATTGCCAATTTGTCACTAGGCAGCAAGAATTCTGAATGATGCTGCTCAATGGTGAGACATGGGAACAGTAGCGGCTACGTAGTCTAGTGATCAAAGTTGCGATGTGAGGTTATTGGATAGCTTAACGGACGCGGGGTAAAGAGCCCCTCAGCATTCGCCCCATGGCGCCGGGACGTGGGCATGGGGATCAGTCTAAGTGATCCTTCTCCACTACTAGAAACCATCCATCAATCCTACCGAGAAAGCCGTTGACGCAAGGAAGGTCAATAGCTTCATGATCTGTCACTCTAAGTCGCAAAAAACTGATCGTCCGTTGGCTCGCTTGGAACCGTTGCGCATCTCCAGGAAGCGCTTATTAACAAGCCTCTTTGGTGCGTCAAGGACACGCTGGAAACCCCGAGGGGTTCCTTGGTTCGTGAAATAAACGCTCCAACTTTCAGATGCTTCCAGGTTAGACACGTCAGGTAGCGTGAGCTAAACATACAAGGGAGGGAGCTCACGTGAACCTAACCCCTGCACAGAATACGGGCCGACGGCGGGGTAAAATGGTTCGTCTTGTCTTTTTCCACCCCTGTCTCCGAGTCTGGGGTCGCATCTGGGGTTCTGGGGTTTGTCCGCGCGGCCTTTCTTCTTTCCCCAAAGCCAAGACTTGACGAGTTTCTGGGGCACATTGGCCTACTCACTTGGCAACAACTTGGCATCAACTTGGCAACATGATGGGGAGACCAGGGGCATGGACGACATCTGGACCTTCAAAACGACTACCGCGAAGATGAATGGCAGTTAAGGGCTTGGTACCTGATGCCGAGGCGCGTGTGGAGGACGCGGAGCGGGACGCAACAGCCAAGCAAAAGCCAAGATCAGAGACTAAAGCAGGTCGAACGTTCCGGGGAGGTTGTTGATGTCCCGCAACTAAGGTGACTGGGCAAATGCTTACCTTTACTAGCTCCGATTATACCACGATTCCATCAAGCCCCCTCCCCTGACGTATACCGCGCAGGACGTGGGAGAAGTCGCTCTGACCTTTACCGGACAGCCGCACCATATGCCTCTCCATCGGTCCATCGCTTCATTTCCAGACTTACCACTCTCCAGTGCCGGTCATCCGCACTCTTCCCCCGCACTCTAGAACCAATCTGGCCACCCTACCCGCTGCCCGCCAGCACCAGAGTCTTCATCGGAGAAACGACCCAAACGCATGCCATCGAATCCCACTACGACTCGAAGCGCACGTATAACACCAGTTCGGAAGGTCGTAATAGCGCGGCATTTGACATGCGCTCTCTGCTCATTGGAGGGAATTCTTGGCGCTTGGGGTTCTCGTGCGACCCTTCATCCAATATCACAGACATTGTCAACGAAATGAGATGAAGATGGATCACAAGGAACGTGCCATCGTGAAGCACCTCACGGTGTTTAAAAGACACACGATGACCCCGAGTCGTCGGATCATGAGAGTCGTCTCCCCAGGATCTCACAGGCATTCCCCTCGTCAGTGACAACTCCCCCTACCGTTCTCCGTCAGCAAATCCAAGGTCGTCCCTCCTCCTTCGTCATGTTGTCCAAGCCAATCCGCGAGCGCGGCTACGCCCTCGGCCTCGCCCTCGTGGCCACAGGCTCCCTCGTCTCCGCCGGTCCCTGTGACATCTACGCCTCCGGCGGCAACCCCTGCATCGCCGCCCACAGCACCACCCGCGCCCTCTACAGCGCCTACACCGGCTCCCTCTATCAGGTGAAGCGCGGCTCCGACGGTGCCACGACCAACATTGCGCCCCTCTCCGCCGGCGGCGTTGCCAACGCGGCCGCTCAGGACACCTTCTGCTCCGGAACGACCTGCCTCATCTCGGTCATCTACGACCAGTCCGGCAAGGGCAACCACCTGACCCAAGCCCCCGGCGGCGCCTTCAGCGGCCCCGACGTCAACGGGAACGACAACCTCGCCAGCGCCATCGGCGCCCCCGTCACTCTCAACGGCCAAAAGGCCTACGGCGTCTTCATCTCCCCCGGCACCGGCTACCGCAACAACGCCGCCGTCGGCACCGCCATCGGCGACGTGTCCGAGGGCATGTACGCCGTCCTCGACGGAACTCACTACAACGGCGGCTGCTGCTTCGACTACGGCAACGCCGAGACCAGCAGCACCGACACGGGCAACGGCCACATGGAGGCCATCTACTTTGGCGACAACACCGGCTGGGGCACTGGTGCCGGCAGCGGACCCTGGTTGATGGCGGATCTCGAGAACGGCCTCTTCTCCGGCGTCAACCCCAAGAACAACGCGGGCGACCCGTCCATCACGGACCGCTTCTTCACCGCCGTTGTCAAGGGCGGTCCCAACCTCTGGGCCCTCCGCGGCGCCAACGCCGCCTCGGGAGGCTTGACCACGTACTACAGTGGCGTGCGGCCTAACGCGTCGGGCTACAACCCCATGAGCAAGGAGGGCGCCATCATCCTCGGCATCGGCGGCGACAACAGCGTCAGCGCCCAGGGCACCTTTTACGAGGGCGTCATGACCTCGGGCTACCCCTCCGACGCGACGGAGAACTCTGTCCAGGCCAACATTGTCGCGGCAAAGTACGCCACCACTTCCCTGAACAGCGGCACCGCCCTCACCGTCGGCAACTCCATCTCCCTGCGCGCCACGACCTCCGGCTACACCGACCGCTACCTCGCGCACACCGGCTCGACCGTCAACACCCAGGTCGTCACCTCGTCCAGCACCACGGCCCTGAAGCAGCAGGCCAGCTGGACCGTCCGCACCGGCCTCGGCAACAGCGGGTGCTACTCATTCGAGTCCAAGGACACGCCGGGCAGCTTCATCCGCCACTACAACTTTGAGCTGGCCGTCAACGCCAACGACGGCACCAAGCAGTTCAAGGAGGATGCTACCTTCTGCACGCAGTCTGGAATCAGCGGCACCGGCAGCTCGTTCCGTGCGTGGAGCTACCCTACCACCTACTTCCGTCACTACAACAACCTGGGATACGCTGCGAGGAACGGCGGTGTTCACACTTTTGACTCTGCTACTTCCTTCAACGCGGACGTGAGCTGGGTTATTGCTACTGGCTTTGCTTAAGTTGAGGATGATAGGGCGAGAGAGAGGATGAGATTGTTCTGACAGGCGGGCAAGAGGTCAGTCTGGCATACAACTTGTTGGGACGAGCCTGCGAGATGTCCTAGGAATAGTTCCTGCTAGTCTTTAATTCATTCAAATCGACCCTTGGCCTTCATTGGTATCGTACAATTATCAAAATCGATGTTGCAACGACCAGATACCATGAGATCTTACATGATTGTTAAAATTATTGAACTCTAGATTTCCAGACAGACTTCAAGTTCACTTCACTTGCCTCAAAACCCTCTTAGTGGTGCTGCTGGCTTTGAGCTTCAAGTTAGATTATGGTGTTGGATTTGCGATAACCAAACCAGGTCATCAACTTGATAACATCCACATATTAGTGCACATCTTTGCCCCTGGGCACGCTCAGACTAGCGATCTAGAGAGCTTGACGTGGCGGTGTGATATGTTGGTGAAGCATGCGAAGTTCCAGACCCTAGATTCTATGATCGATAAGAGCATTCACAATTCAGAAAAGCTCACAGACTCTGCTGTACATGCCCATGAGGCGGCCATCATACCTTGCGAGAGGCCATACAGCCTGGTTGTCAGGCTTCTATAGCTCTTTTCTGCACCCATCTGATAGCTTAAAAATGCAGTGAAGGAAGAAGTCCGATTCGTTGGAGCTCCCGCATCTTGCGGAGTTGACGGCTTCGGACATTGCCACATCAGTGCTGCGACATGGAAAGAAAGATTAAATCGTGATCGGCGTGATGGAATTTAATCGCATAGTGAGTTTACTTCGCAGTCTCTCAACCTGTGCCGGTGTCCCAATCACTTAAGGGCCGAAGCGCATCACATACTTACATACCTTTATTTTTTTCCTCGCAGAAAGGCTGTGGAATTATAGATCCCAGTATCCGAATTGATGTTTTTTTTTAAATGTTATGCGACTTGCTCTCGTCATGTTTAGGCATCTAGCATAGATAGGCAGGATGGGGCAACGCATAAGATCGCAAGGCCGAAGATGGGTTCAGCAATATCGACATCCAAGACGCCGACAGGTGCCCCACATGTCCCGACCGGGTCTTGCAATTTCGGAGCCGACAAATCCTCACCTTCAGGTGGAGTGAGAAGCAAGACACTCTTTGAATAGAATGGGAGAAAGTAGCCAAGAATTGTGCCGCAAAGTCGTTTGCCTTCACAGACGGGATTATGTTCACTTTGAATTTTGACAACGGCATGATAGCTTGGCCACTCTACCATAGTGGACAAATTCCAAACATTCGGAAATCGTAGATATTGAGCGTGAAGAAGCTTCAAATACCGAGGGATCCGAGTCAGCAATCAAATGCCAATTCAGCCCGACTCTCCGATGGCATGAACCTTGTTGATTCGACCGAGGCCGACTACACAGTACAGTCAGGCTTCTCTCTTGGCTCTAGAAGAAATTTCACGAAATCGAACTTTTCAGGGGGGGTGACAAACAACCTAAAAGGCTGAGCCGAGGTCCAGCAGCTTTGCCCAGACTTTCCATGACAGTGCAGCACGCATCCCACGCTGTGACGCCAGGGCAAACAGGCACGCTGGCACTAAGAAAAAAACACCGAACCCCGTTTGGGGAGTGGGGGTCCTCCGTCACTTATCGCTGCCAATCGACGATAATTTGCGCTCGCGCTCCGACCCCAACAACACCAACAAACGATCCCAACCAAAGCGACCGGGGGGTGGGTGCGAGGCCCGCAAAACGAGCTCCGTGGACCCGGTAGACAAGCGCCCAATCCATACGGAGTACTTTACATTTCCTTTCGAAATTTAAATCCCATCACCAACCCATGGCGACCTCTCTCCTCGCCCAATGCTCAACCACCCTCTGGTGCCACCTCCGTTCCCTCCCCCTCTGGGCCTTCGTCCTCGTCGTCCTCCTCCTCGGCGCGCTCCGCCAGCGCATATTCCCATCTTCACCGTCTTCTTCTCCGACCAGACGGCGACGGGAAGCACCGGTCGTCGCGGGTAAGAAGACGTCCGCTTCCTGAAGGTCTCAGCCATTCAAGGAGAAAACAACACCAGCGAAACAGATACACAAGATGGCGTCCGCAATCGCAAAGGCCTCGCGCACCGAGGCCGACTTCGATCGCGTCCCCGTCCGCGTCGTCCGCCTCATCCGCCTCGCCGGCGCCAGCGGTCTGGCGTACGCCGCCTACAAGATTCACTGGCGCATCGTCCTCGCCAGCTTCTTCACCGGCCCGGGCAAATTCAGCCGCATACTCATGCTCATCTTTGCCCTGCTGAACCTCAAGAACATGCCCTTTGTCTGGACCGTATGTTAAACCTCCTCTCTCTTGTCTACAGACAGAAGACAAGAACAGCCAAAAGACTAACACCTTCACAAACAGTACCGGGTATGGCACGCAATAATCTACCACCTCTTCATCCGCAAATCCCCCCGCCTCGGCCCGCGCTCCCTCTTCCGCCCCATGATCTCCCAATCCCACGCCCCCATCACCGAGATAGACTACAACATCCACAAGTCCAACTCAACCTACTTCTCCGACCTCGACGTCTCCCGCACCCACCTCTGCACCTACCTCCTCCGCCCCGGCTTCCGCCAACTCACCCACAATGCGACAACAAAACTCGTACTCGACCCCAAAACCTCAAAACCCGCCCGCGGCCCGCTCGGCATCATGCTCGGCGCCGTACACTGCTCCTTCCGCCGCGAGATCACGGCCTACGCCCCCTACGAGATGTGGTCCCGCATCCTCTCGTGGGACCGCAAGTGGCTGTACATTGTCACGCACTTTGTCCCCAAGGGCACCGCGCGGCCGACAGAGTGGCTTGATCCGAAATTCGGCACCGCGCGGGTCCGGAGGAACACCAGCGGCGACGCGAGCAGCAACAGCGCGGACTGGGAGAAGAAGATTTACGCCACGGGCGTGAGCAAGTACGTCTTCAAGATTGGGCGGTTGACGGTGCACCCGGCCGTCGCTCTCGAGGCGAGCGAGCTGCTGCCGCACAGGCCCACCGAGGGCGGATGGCAGGGCGGCGAGAACGGTGTCGGGGACGAGAGTGTTGATCTGAGCGATGTCGCCGACGACGGCGCATGGGACTGGAAGATGGTTGAGAAGAGGCGGCGCGAGGGGATGAGGTATGCTGCGCAATTTGCTGCCATGGATGACCTGCATGGATGGCTGGACGGTGCGGATGGCGGTGACGGAAGTGCCTTGGGCAAATTCGGACTTGGATAAGACGAGAGGAGATGGTGGGATTCGTGATACCCAATAGACTTAGACGGTATTGACATAAGATGATGATAGAGACGGGGGCGAAGACGGAATCGTAGATGATTCAATCTGGGATATCAATGTTTCTTCGGGTTTACATTGCCACTAATCAGCTGATAGAACTAGATATGCATGCGCGTACAACTACATCAAGACTTCCATCGTCAGGTGTGCTGGCTATTTCTCTTTTTCCCGCTAAACTCCGCAATCCGCAATCTTTCCTCTTGCATTGGGTATATCAATTACAAGGGATGAAGTAAAGATGTTGTTTAAATCAAAGCCACAACTGGTAGGTGAGAAAAGTGGATTTAGAGAGCGAACGCAGCGGCCGCGGCGATGGCTCCAGCCCAGCCAGCGACCTGAGCCCGACCAGCGGCGGCTGGTGACGTTGTAGTGGTGACGGCAGCTCCTGTTGCGGTGCCGCTGCGGGAGGAGGTTGATGTGCCGGAAGCCGTAGTCGCGGCAGCGGTGACGGAGCCAGCAGAGGCGGTGCCGGAAGATGTGCCTCCTGCGGCGACCTGGGCGCAGATCTGAGAGGCGAGCTGAAGTACCGCTGGAGATGTGTTAGCTCTGTTGTTCAAAAACCTGAATGCCTTTCTCATGCTTTGTGGGATCACATACTGGCTTGATCTGTCGAGCTGCAGCCGGAGGAAGCAAGGCAGGGCACGACCTTGGCTGTAAGCTGTTCGACCTTTCCGCAAGAGCAGGCAAAGTCTGTGATATCGCAGTTGACAGACTGGGCACCGTCACGGATGCAAGTGACCGCGCAAGTGGGAATCTCGGCAACGAGCTGATCGATGGTCTCGGCGGCCACAAGGGCGGCAAGGAGAGATACGACAATGGTGTACTTCATCTTGGCGGTTGGCTGTGATGGTTCGGGGCCGAGGTTGGATCGAAGTAAGTGCGGGATGTCGAGGTGTGGTGAAGTAGCTGATAAGACGTGTAGGAGCAAACGCAAAGTAGAATAAAGTAGCAGACCGGTTGCGAGAGAGGACGAAGTGGTCTTATAAAGAGCATCGAACGAGACGCCAAGACTGTGGCATCAACAGCAACCGGTCGCCGGAATGGCACAAGCTCATAGAGGTAAACCGCCGAGAGCTCCAAACGTAGCCAAGACGCGGTCTACGCCGGCGCGCCGTAGCTGTCTCGCACCCCGGATCAGGCAAGACGACGGATGGGGATTATGGGACAGTGATGGGAATTATTGGTGAGGGATTCAACCGAGCGGGCCAACCCCCCTCAGACAGCTGCTCACTCGAGCCTTGTCATCCGTTCTGTGGCAGAACGTCTACTGTCAGTCTAGAGATGATCGGCCGCCACAGCTCACTTGGCGTGAAGCCGCTGGAGCTCTCACGAAATGCACCGCTCGGACTGGCTCGTTTTGCAGTGCTGTCTAGTAGTCGTGGCGCAGGTGCTAGTTTTCCCTCTGACCGTGAACAAAGGCGGCTAGAGGGGATTCTGGGTCAGTTGGTAGCATCAATCCTCCATCCTCCAGTTCCGAGCTGTGATCGATCTTCCGCAAACGTCTGCGCGCGGAAACCGAAGCTCAGGCAAGGGCCCTGGAGGCGGGACAAGCTGACCAGCTTGCGGTTTGAGATGCCCTCTTGTGCAATCGCTCGAGTCTGGACTTTTCCCGAGCAGCTGTCCATCTTTCCCGACGAATGCGCCCTCAAGGTCTCAGATACATGACGTTGACGACCAGTTGCCTGGGTCTTCGCTCTGAGGAATGCAGGCTCAGGGGAAGTTGGTTAAGCTCATCCGGCATCAACTAAGCTTCCCGCAGGCCCCTGTCACCTGCAGGTCGGAAAGAGGAAGATCAGACGCTTGGCCAATCGAAGTGCTCCATTCGTGGGTGCAGGGAATGCACTGAGAAACACCTGCATTAGCCGTCCGACGCTTCTCGCATGGTGTGTGGCCTGTGTTCCTGTGCCCTCCCGTGCCTCGACCAGAATATCGGACGAATGCTTGCCAGTCTCTGCGAGTTATCTCGTCCAGTCGCACTTTTCAGCTATCGAGCCAGCGGCCTTTCGTGGAGAGAAATGTAATCGACCCCAAACGTAAGATTGGGGGATCATGAGTCAAGCATGATCAGACGTGAAGAACAACCGACGTGGTGTTTTCGGAGGCGTAGCTATCAACCGGATGGCCGAGGCCGTGCGTTCCGGGTCTATTGGCCACGCGAAATTGGTTTCCTCATCCTTTTCATTAGCCTCGCAGACTCTGATTGCACACTCTTATCCACCAATCGACCAACGTGGAGCGTCTACCTCTAGCGGACATTCACGCATTGTGAGCCGCTAGCTTCATCGTGTTTGCCTAAGCAGTGTCTGCCTTGAGCAGTTTCTTCTTCTGACAGAATGCCATTTGACCTTCAGCTGGGAAAAGCCTTCATCCTTGTGGCGAATGGGAGGCGCCACAAGGATTCTCTCATGTTGTCGTGCGCTTGTAGGAAACGCGTTACTCAGAGATATGATGCTAGATGGGCAAGCAATTGATTGTTCCGGGCCTCGAGACTCCTCATGCTCAGGAGCATTGGCAAATGTCAAACCGTAGCGACAGTCTCAAGCTGGTCGTTGCTCCATACACTCCCGTTCCAGTTACCAACTTGCCCCAATCCGAGTATCTAGCAGTTTGAAATCTGTCGTGAGCTTGGCAGGTGTCCGACCCGATGGGTTGCTCAGCGATTGTAGAGCATAGGAATGCAAACGGAGTGCCGGGCAGAAGATTGGCGGCGAGATGAGGTATCGAATCCGAAGCCGTTAGCGCGTGGGATGTTGATTCGTTCCTCGCAAGCCGCCCTCACAGCGGCCGTGGAGGTTCACCTCTATTCTCGACGTCCACTTGAGGTGGTCACCGTTTTCATAGTTGATTGCAGCCACGCATGCTGAACGATAATTCGAGCCCAATAACTGAGACGGGTGCACGGCCGAAGCGGGTGCCTGCCTTGTTGCTGGTTCGACCGTAGACTGCAAAGTTCGGCTCTCGAATTGGAGCCATCCCAACTTTGTTTCCTCGGCATAGCTGTCGAGCCACAGAACCACTTCAATCTGTGATATGAGAAAACCTTTCTCAGTGGTGCCACGACTCTAGCCCAGCTTCGCGTGGGTAACATCGTATTCTCTCGTACTGGGGTTTAGAAAGCATAAAGTTGGGTGACGGCGAGCTGCCAGACTCTTTCAGTCTTACTTGCAGACAAGTGCAAAGTTAAGTTAGGTTAGAGACGAATAGCAAAGCATGCGAAGTCTGGTAGCGAGCGATATATATGTAAGTCGGGATTGGAGAGGTGGTTGATGATAAGACGGAATCGCTGGCTCCGCGAAGAAGTCGGTGACGAAATGGCGGACCCACCTGCAGTGCCTGCCGTGCGAGGTCTGATTACTCAGACACGGTACACCAGTGCCCCTCCATCCCAGATTGGCGGCCGCGGGGCAGTCGGACCTGAACAAAGTCCACCTTGGCTAAAGGCGCGACAACTTCCACTTTCTTTCACATCACACTGCCCCTGGACAACTACAGGGAAATCATGACGGAACAACCGGTATCAGTCCTATTTGTCTGCCTCGGCAACATTTGCCGCTCGACAATGGCAGAAGGCGTGTTTCGCAACTTTGCGCAAAAGCCTCAGTACAAGGGCCTCATCTCAAAGGTGGATTCTTGCGGCACAGGTACGAATTATGGCGGATACGTCATGATGAACCCAATTCCTCTACCACTTCTCGTGCGCAAAGCAAAGCTGACGCGGTCTTTCTGCGCAACAATAGCGGCCTACCATGTCGGCGATCCTCCAGATGATAGAACTATGGCGACGCTCGAAGACCACGGCATAACGGATTACTACCACGCTGGTCGCAAGGTACGATGGTGCTCCCTCTCTCACAGGGTGCGCCCGGGCGGGTCTGAAGAGAGAACAGACTTGCTGACCGTCACGCTTTCCCAATGTTTAGGTGTCGCCCTCAGACTTTAACAAGTTCGACTACGTCTTCGCTATGGACCGATCCAACCTACGAGACCTCCAAAACCTACAACAACGAGGCCACACCGATTCAAAGGCCAAGGTGATGTTATTTGGCGAGTTTTCAGGAGGACCGAGGTCGGAGGTGGTCAACGACCCTTACTACGGTGGCGACGAGGGCTTCGCAAAGGCTTATGAGCAGTGCACGCGGTTCTCGACCAACTTTTTAAAGCACGTCTTCCCCAACGTCGACCCTAAAGCATAGAAGGATCGCGGGTTTGCGACCGCGGCGAAGACGGCACTGGAGCCAGATGGATGAGGATAAAGGGCCGCCGACGCGCCGCGAAACACGACTTGAGGGCGGCGTCACGCGTTGCAGCAGAGATCTGACTGGCTGTGTGCCAAATATGGGTTTGTCGTTGACGATCATCTTGTCCACGACAAGGCGTCAGGACAGGGACAAGAGGGATGGGTAGGCCATTGAGAACAGCTTGCCGCGCTGCCCGATTGATTATGCTGCATTATTAGAGAAGGAAAGGCAGAGAAAAGAGGAGCATTTAAGCGTGTGTTTGGTTTGATTGATTCCACAGCTACAAGATGCATATAGAAGATTAGATTCCATGCAGTTGCCAGCCAATGTAGGTCCCAAGTGCAGGACAACGGCAAGACGGCCAGATGAGGATGGAGCCGTAGACGCCGTTGAAGAGAGCTCGAGGGGTCGAGGTGCCTAAGCGAAATGGGATTCGAGATGTCGGCTACGCGCAAGCTAGCGTCATTGGCGGCGGCAGCAGCTAGGCACTTGAGCCTTGGCATCGCATACGAAGATGGCAGAGCACCAGGTGGCCCAAGGGAAAGCAGTATTTGGAAACCAGCACTGTCTGAGCAGATGTTCGTGGTACAGGTCAGAGATTCTTCAGCCCTATTTGTCCAGTACACATCGATGTACCTGGGTTGCTATGGTAGTGCTGCCCAATAATGGGAGGAGTAGCTTACCTACGCCGTCGAGGATGAC